TCGCTCTATGTTGGAGATTTACATCCGGATGTAACCGAAGCGATGCTTTTTGAAAAATTCAGCAGTGCCGGTCCAGTGCTGTCCATTCGCGTATGCCGTGATGCAATTACGAGACGCTCACTGGGTTATGCTTATGTCAACTTTCAACAGCCGGCAGATGGTTAGTAGTTATCTTTGCCAGATATAAATGTGCTTAAGCTGTGTTCATGCTTTCCATGCTGCAGATCTTAATTACTGTAAATCAGTAAATGACACTACATTCTATTTATATACTTACACGGTGAATTATTTCATCATACAATTTTGAAAGTTATGATCTGGTTAATTCGAAAAATGATTTCCTTATAAGAGCTTATAAACACGAAATTATATATCTGGATAGTTAAATTGCTAATTCATATGCAGGGATTTTTGCCTTACATCTGTTGCAGCACATTGTATAGACATTGCTGGAGACGGAAGATTAGAAATCATTTGACTGTGAATTAAAACCTTATAACAAAAAAAATTGACCACTCCTTTTATCGCATTATATCACACTACTGAAAGGACTACCTTCGGGTGTCGCTCAAGTACTGTTTAATTTTCAGATCAAAGCCGATATGGTGACTGATTTAAAAGTGAGTAATTTCTTTTTTTCAGTTCCTTTTTACAGTAATTTTTATTTACAGCGGAGAGGGCTTTGGATACGATGAATTTTGATATGATGTATGGCAAGCCTATTCGCATTATGTGGTCACAGCGTGATCCGTCAATGCGTCGGTCGGGTGCTGGCAATATTTTTATCAAAAACCTGGACAAAAGTATCGATAATAAGGCTATCTACGATACGTTCTCGATGTTTGGGAATATCCTAAGCTGCAAAGTTCATTTTCAGGATAATTCATAATTTGCTACTTGTTAACGTGTTTCCGGCATTATGCTTTGACCAAGAATATATGAATATAGTACTATTAGTGCTCATCGTCAATTAAGTCAGAGATGGCTGTTTACGACTTAAAGGGCGTTTTCGTTCTAATCGTTGTGGTATTTGTAGGTTGCTAATGATGAGGAGTCAAACAGCAAAGGATATGGTTTTGTTCACTTCGAAACTGAAGAAAGTGCGCAGAAGGCAATTGAAAAAGTGAATGGAATGCTTCTGGAAGGAAAGAAAGTGTATGTTTCATAATTTTATTCTTTGCAGAGAAAAAGTAGCAGCTGTATTGTGTTATTTTGATTAAAAGCGTATGAGTTGTGATATATTCCTTTATTTCATGCACAAAAGTCATTTTTAGGTATGTGGGCAAATTTCAACCACGTACGGCACGTCTGCGTGAAATGGGCGAAACAGCTCGTCGTTTTACCAATGTTTACATAAAAAATTTCGCAGATGAATTAGATAAAGATGCACTGGAAAAACTGTTTTCCAAATTTGGAAAGATAACAAGCGCAGCGGTTATGGTGGACGCCGATGGAAAGTCAAAGGGTTTTGGTTTCGTTGCATTCGAAAATCCGGAAGATGCTGAAAAGGTAATTTAAAAACAAGGTAGTAAATCTAGTAATTACTATTACTTACTGAATTTGCAGGCTGTAACAGAGATGCACGAATATGAGCTTCCGGGGACAGAGCGTAAACTGTATGTTTGCCGTGCACAAAAGAAAAATGAACGCTCTGCGGAACTGAAGCGCCGTTACGAACAGCAAAAGGTTGAACGTATGCAGCGCTATCAGGGAGTCAATTTGTATGTGAAAAATTTGGATGACACAGTAAACGACGATATTTTGAAGCAAAATTTCGAAGCCTATGGAAAGATCACCTCGGCTAAGGTTATGTGCGACGATAATGGGCGTTCTAAGGGATTTGGTTTTGTTTGCTTTGAAAAACCGGATGAAGCGACAAAGGTAGCATTCATAAAATTATGATTTTCTACAGAATCTTATGTGTATCACATAACCATTAGTTGTAATGTGCATCATTTCATAATTAGTGAAGTCTGTTTACATTTTTATTTTTGTGGCTGTGATTCTTTTTTCATTCTTAGGCTGTAACTGAAATGAACGGCAAGATGATGTGTACGAAGCCTTTGTACGTTGCTTTGGCACAACGTAAGGAAGATCGTAAAGCACAGTTGGCATCGCAATATATGCAACGTCTTGCGTCAATTCGTATGCATAATGCTGGCAGCATGCCTGGGACCGTTTATACACCGGGCACTGGAGGATTTTTCGTTTCATCAACATTGCAGAATCAACGAGCTTTTATGCCAACTGCGACTATTCCTGGCGCTCAAATGCGCGGAACAACACCAAGATGGAATACAATTGGCGCAGCTGCTGGATTTGGTATATTTTTGATATTAAATGATAGCATATGTAGCAAGAACATTCTTCCGGT